TACGCAAATACTGTACTGCTACATGGTTAATGATCGAAAATACTGTATATGGTATAATTGTGGGTTGCAGGATGTTGATTGGCATCACTAAATAATGTAACAGGACACGTTTGATCCCTAGCTTGGGTGTCACGCAGTTAGAAATGAGATTCCATCTGCGAAGAGGGATCACAATCCAACTTTTAGAAACTCGCTGCAAATAAAAAAAATTCAGTCGTTTTTGTGTGCCACACGTTGTGCACCATCTTCATGAACATATAGGGCATCACTGCGTAGGTTGAACAAATATTCTGTACATGACCAGTTGCATGGGGCAAAAGAACAGAAGGATCAGTACAGCAAGCATTCATCACACGCTGTGGTCTGGTCGGCATCAACCTTTTTCCGTGGGGTCTTATTCGCTCTGCACAAATGGTCATGTAGCTCTCCTGCACAACCGGTTGTATACAATATATCTTTCCAGGCTCCAACTGATGTGTGAGTGGGTTGCACTGATAGGAGACAAATGATGTACGCTTCCTCCCGAACAAAGAAAGAAACTGGATCACCGGCTATGGTTAATGATCGAAAATTCCAGCAATCCAAAACACAAGAAACTTTTCTGTGGAATCATCGCGGAAATAATTCCCATCGCTCTTTATACTGTACATAGTTTCGAGTATTGATACAACATTTTTCCGCATCACAGAGAGAAATTTCTGGAGTAACTTTATATTTTATCACATACTAAGGATTTAAGAAACAAAACGTAGCTCTTGATTTACCGCTCCTCTGTACACGTACTTGAAGGTGAATGAAACGGCTTTTGATTTCGCGCTCCAACGGCGAACTCTGAGGATGATTCTTTCACGAACGAAATTAAGAAAGACTGTCCTTTTTCTGCCGGACTTGGTGCTATTTTCTGCAGTGACCTTGAGAAGATGGCTGAGAGTGAGGCATTTACATGTCAGTCACATTGCGGATGAGGGGCGGTTGACTGCCTATATAATGGTTTTAACTATGACGTACTCCTATCTCGTCCAAATCTACTTGCTTCTTTCCTTTCGGTATCCTGTCAGAGAACTTAATTAAATTGAGCCTTTACTGTGGTGAAGAGAAATAGGAATATAAAATGATGGAATTTAAATTTCAAAAAGCTTAATAATCGTACCGCATTGTACGAAATCCTCGCACCACGAAAGATCCGCACAACGAGCGTTTCTAGCGCAATATCGCACCTTCACACTATAAAAACATAATTCCTATTTGTTCTTTATATACGAATGACAAAACTCGTTGTTTACGCATATGCGATGCATACGAAGAACGATTCGTAAATATAGCGTAGTGCTTGCACAAATAACGTTCGTACTACTGTATTAGGTACATCAACTGTAACTAGAATTCCTATACAGTATTGTAGTGAAGGGCATGAGAGCTGGAATGCTGATTTTCACAAGGATAGTTTGGCTGGTAATGAACGTAAAATAGGATCAACAGATCAGCATGTTTTTGGAGAGAGAAAGAATAGTATGAATGCGCGAACAGGTGCATGTTTCATTCTTGGAATCTTAGGCAGGAAAGAAGTTTACATTTTCGAGAATCATCATACAGTATGATAAAGTCCCATCGTCAATTCGTCACAGTGACATTATTAGCGTTATATTTATGCATTCGAGTAAATGCAGTAAAGAGGAGTCCTCGTCTCGGGAAGTAATATTTATGAAGTGATTTTTTTGCTACCCGGGGAACAATGAGGGACAGCTTGAGGGCATTCGGAGGGCTCGGAAATTCCATCCGGGCGCCCAGAGGCAGGACTATGAGTCCAAAACCTACTCACATGGCATATTTTATTAACGAAACGCATGGCAGAGCAAATTCCGCGTGAGCCGCGTTTTGTTTCTTTTCTAGAAAGCGACAGGGGAATTTTTTTGACGAAGTTCCCCCACTTCGCTGCCGCGAGAATTACAGGAGGGCATGTGTGTATATAGCCGAGGAAAAAGGGGAGCAAAAAAAATTGCAAGCTGCTGCTGGCGGCGCTGCGACGGACGTTCACGATGGAAGAATTGTCACATGTTTTTCTGCTTGAGCGAACTGGTTCATTTCCTGCCCGTCAAGGCGATGTCGTGGAATGTGGAGCTACTTGAGGGGGGGGGGGGGGGTAACATTGCGGCGTATGGAATTTCCCCTTGACTTTTCCCTCCCCCGACTCTCTTCCATTGTCTGCAAAGGAGGAACAGCAGATGCAGCTACTTTGACACCATTCTGTGTCTGGTGGAAGCGATGACCCTGACGTGAACTGTGCGTGTAACAAGGCCGACAGGTTGGCCGTCTGAGTTCGTGACTATCAGCATCCTTGTACAGAATTTATATAGAGGGAGTGAGAATCTATAACTCGGGGATTTTTCCAACATTCGCAGGTGTACTTGGGGGTACATTGGCACTTCTCGGGTAATGTGTGGAAAAAAACCTGGCGAGTAGGTAGCATTTTTAAGAAGGGCTAACTGATTCAAAAAGTGGATGACATCGAATTAAAATTTCTCTCGAATAGAAAAAAGGGAGTTGACGAATTAAAAATTTGGGAAAATTGGATTCGGGAAACTTGGGCTTAATTTTCCAAAATGATTCTATGCGCATAATTAATTTTTTATAATCAATGATTATGTTCAGAAAAATTTTTTTGCTGCACCTCCGTTGGATTCACGATGGTATTTGAGGCTCAGTATAAAACTTTTTACAATGAAGTTTTTTCAAGGTCCCAATGATGAGCTTCGTTGCATTCTACAGTACAGTACGTGCACACTGTATTTCGTAGAATCTTGTTGTAATGAGTCTCATAATAATGAATTATCGTTGTAAAAATGCACGCTGGTCCCTGTATATTGTGTATAGACACAATTTTACTTGAGTCATCATCATAGCAAGTTGCTTCTTGTCCCAATGGATTTGTTTTAATGAGATTTTTGCGATACACATCTCCAGGAAATAGCGCAGGAATACGTTAATTCATGCATTTAACTGTCAGGCCGACAAATTTTATATTGCACAGTAAAATTCCATAACAATCAATCTTATTTTACGTTTATAAAAAAATATTTTTGAGGCTTCTCCGGTATATAGCCCTAATCTTATTTCAGGCTCATTAAAGTTATTTTTCAATAACAAAAGTTTTTCCAGGTCCCGAGTGCATTGCTGCAAAGAGATTTTACTGTATTCCGGAATCCTGGCATTTTTTCAAAGATCTTGCACATCATGTACACATTTCTAACTGCTCTTGTGCAGGATCATTCAAGTTGAGCGAGCGCGTTTTCTGACTCGATAGTGTATAACTGCATGTACAGTACATACGGCATCCGAATACTTCTAAGAAAAAGTCTCCTCAAGCCGGCACTTTAGGGGGAAAATGCTTTTTAGGGGAGAAAACTTAGAGGAGACAAAAATTGAAGCCTGACGCCAGCCCAAGAGCTCCCAATGTAGCACCCCAGGGCATGCATGCTTGCATTCCTTCGGCCGCGGGCTGCGGCGTCTCATCACGGGCACGTGGCTCGATGTGGTTCGCGTGTGGGTGCCTGATCCGTGGCACTTGTAGCTTCCAGAGCTTCGCTTCATCTTATAGAGATGATGTATGGGCTTGCCGTCGATGACATGCCTGTTTCGGGAAACAGCAGCGGGTGGCAGCAGGGATGCAAAAATTTCGCTCCTGATGGGTACGTACATAAAGCTTGCCGAGGCTACCATTCATTTGGGTATGCGGAGAACATGACTCATCGTCCGTTTGGTTCTGGTAAAAGAAATTCCTAGCGGAAGAATGAGCCTAGTAATACTGTTTCACTCATCCGCCGCGCTTTTGATGAACCCACATAAAAATTTCGCATCATATTTACAGTACTGTATACAGTATTCATTCACCTCCTCAGTTTCCGTGCTGCATGATGACGAATCAAGATTTTTAGATTCAAGTTTCTAGCATCCTCTCATTTTCTTATACTAGAATCATGTGTCAGTGATGATCAACAGCAAAAAATCTTCTTTGAATTATTACTAAACCTCAAAATTTAATCATTCTCATCACAAAATTCAAGTGTTCTATATTCGCAAATTGGGTTGACCTTTCAAGTTGAAGAAAATATTGTTCATACGTACTGCACAAGAAGGCCTGGCTCCACTTTTAAAGAGAGATAATACAGTTCTAGTTTTTTTTGGAAACTCAATCGCTATTATTCAACACTTTACAAATCCTCGGTTTGCCTCTCGTTTGTTCCATGAGAGCAAGCACCGGACCAAAAATGTATGCGCTGTATAACGGCATCATCAGTCGCACACATCAGCTAATTTAATGCTGTTCTTGGTCAGAATGTTGCCCTCTTAATCTTCGCAGTTGAATTTTGTAAGCTGCTGCCAAGCGAACTGTGAAAGAAGTACAGTACTGTATGTATCTAGCATCGTCAAACTTATACAGTATATACAATGTTTGTTTTTTTAAATTAGAAGCTACGCATTGCGCAAGTTATTCCTTATTCAACTACACGTCCTCCTATAATCATCAGGCGACATAATAGTACAGTGCTTCCTGTAATGACAATGATTTTGCAGTATAGCTTGCAGGAAAGTTATACTGCTAATACACCATAGAGACCTGGAGCTGGCGGAGAGTTTGCCCTTACCGCCTGAAAGACGGGCAACCTCCACTCATTTCGAAGCCCCGCCTCTTTTGGAAAATCTGGTCGAATACTCGATGCTTGAAATATGGCGACTACCTTCGGCAGAGGCGGTGTACTCCGGAAGGAATGGGAAGCTTCAACAACTGTGATTGTAAATGCTGCGTCGGCTTTTCTTTCAAGAGAGATTTGAAGTAAGGTTCCAGGTTCTTCGTGCGGCGGGACAACCTATTTACGACTGCCCCGAAACTGTAACAGCGAGTGATCGCTGCGTTGCGTAACCCCAGTTTTCCGCTGAAGTGATTCCTGGTGTTCTGTGCTTTCCTGTTACTTCTGACGCGTTAAAGCGCTCTTTTTCTTGTCAGTCGTGGTGTGCCTGATGAGTTTCTATGATTTTCTGTACAACGGATCGAATCCTCAACGTGCACAGTGTATCGATATCATGAGATCTTCAGCTATTTCAAATTGATGCGCTCGTTCAGCAAACGCATCTCGGCTCGGCTGTGCAGTCGACTGAAGTCCCCTTTCCTGTGTGAATCCGGCATCTCATTGTTCGTCCAAATGTGGAGGAACTAGGAACGTATGTGATGGATGAAACCTCCCAAAACCAAAACGGCCAAATCGGCCCACACGGAGGGGCAATGGGCGTTGGACCGAAGCAGAACCACGAAGACCATAATCAAAGGGCCCAGTATTCCATGCCTGGCATACTGCATTTTATCGAGCACGAGTGGACTCGTTTTGAAATGGAGAAAGCGCAGTGGGATGTCGAGCGTTCTGAACTCCAAGTAGGATAGTTCTGCTTTTCTACCGATGTTCGATATGCCCATTCCTTCCTTTTTCAGGCACGGATTGCCTTCTTGCAAGGTGAAAGAAAGGGACAAGAAAACTTGAAAAATGACCTGATCCGCCGTATAAAAATGCTGGAGTATGCCTTGAAACAGGAAAGGTATGTTTTCCTTGCGGCTACCTGCTAATGAATTTCCTGCATTTCCGGAAGTATGCCATGCTGATCGATTCCTGTTCGAATTTCAGAATAAAGTTTCACAAGTTGAAGTACGGAGTGGATATCAATTTTGATGGGGGTCGTGCGGAAGGCGACATCGGAGATGGCATCGAATCGCCTTCGTCAGCCGACGGTGATTTGCTCTTGACAACTTCTACTGCCACAAGTCCGCCGACTGTCTCCTGGAAACAGGGGAGACAGCTGTTGAGACAGTGAGTTCAAGTGTTTACTTTCGGCTCACGTTTCCGTTGTTTGATGTGTTTCTTTTGGGTGCTACACCATATCACTCTGCTCCCTGTCAGATACCTGCAAGAGATCGGATACACGGATACGATTATTGACGTGAGATCTGCTCGAGTTCGTACGCTTTTTGGTCTCAACAACCCAGATGGGCCTGAAAACGATTCCAACGGAAAAGCTGGGAAAAACTTACCTGCTGTGAACGGTAGTGATCCAAGTGTTCCGGGTAACAATAAACGAAACCTCGAGACTCAGCAAAAACGCGGTGGTAAAAAAGTCAAGGTATGCATTTTTATACTTCATTGTTTAGTTGGTTAATATTCTATTCTAGCTATGTTCTATCCTAGGGTCGAGGGGCTTCGTTAGCTGAAAATCTCCTGCTGGATGCCGAAGCCGTCATGGCCAATTTGGACTTCCTTAGTGGGAACGGTGTAGAAGTCGACGATGATGACGAAGATGATGACGAAGAATGTCTGTCGGATGAAGAGCGGGATGAACTTGAGGATTCACGAGAGCGGAAAAAATCGTCAAAAGTGAGTGTGATAGAATTGTAACTCCTTTTCAAATTTGAGTTCGACCCTTAATTTCATCTTCCAGCTGGTAAACGAGGATGACGAAATGGATGCCGAAACTGAAGAAGTTTTGAATGAGTTCGACTTCTTAATCACTGACGGGTCAGATTCTGCAGATGGTGAGTTGAAAGCCTGCCGTCACACATCGTTCTCAGGGCTGATGCAGATTTAATCTCCTCATGTCTTCTTTAACCCTATAATTTGTGAGGAATTTCCCAGTTGCTTCGGGTTTGGCGTGTATCATCTTTTTCTTCACGGGATGGATTTTCTCTTCGGATTGTGGGAAGAAGTTGTTGGGTGGAATTGTCGGTTCTGTCTCTCGTGCTCCCTCGCGGGGTTTAGTGTAACGTTGAGATGCATGCGGAACTTCGGTTGTGGACCTAACGACGTTTTCTGATCATTTCCTATTGTGTATTGTAGCGTCATATGCTTTCGAGTTATTCTCATGATTCGTATTTGACATGCCATTCCGCTGGGGCGCTGAATTGCGTTGTGCTTGGTATTGCAAATCGTCTTCGATGTTCGGTTATTTCAAATTCTGAATGGACCTCGTAATACCCTCAATGATCCGCAGTTTCAAATCAGATGATACCTTGCGCAATTTTCTCACAGTTCTGTCTTTATTTTTATGATTTTCGCATGTTGTTCAGTGGTAGTTTTCGAGCTGATCGTCAAGATTGATATGACAGAACCTTTCACGTGCAGGAAAATCATCGCAAATTCCATCTACGGAATTGTAGCCGTATAGTGAAAGAATTAGTATTAGCGAAGTTCGCGAGAATATTCCACAATTATTTAGTTTCTGTCGCATCATGTCTTGAATCGATAAAATCGTCGTGTTGAGAAAAATTGCCGTTTTAAGTTGAGAGTGTTGGGACGAAACCTTCGATAAGTATCAGTTATTTGAGCATGTATCTGTTTGCATGGGTCGATCTAATGGTGTATGCAACCGTGCTCATTGCTGTCCCGTCGTTACACGAATTCGAAATGTTCCTTCATCGGTGACCTATACTGTACTTCGAATCTAGGCTGAAATATGCCGTTAATTCGTGGATTCAGGCTGACTGAAACCGTTGTGAGTTGAAGTCATGGTGGGGGAAGTAGAGTTTCTTACATAGAACGTGCTACCTTTTGTATAACCCTTACAGGAAAGGAAGAACATTCCTACTTCGAATTCTGTTTGTATGTAATTTCTCAGTTGCTTGTGGCTTGGAGGGTAAAAAGGTTTTATGGAATTTGAAAGGTTTGCTTGGATTGCGGGTTTGAGAATTATTTTTCTTTCATTGAACTTGAAATGTAAAAACTGTGGTGACAAATCACCAGATTCAGAAGATGCTATTCACGATGATGATGTTGAATGGAGCGGAAAAAATGCTCTGTTAGCCAAGCTGAAACAAGATTATCAACAGGATATGAAACTCCGCCGCAAAGGACCTCAGTCGTTGGAGCGTATGTGTAGTTTTTGAAACGATGTTCTTTGAGTTCAATTTGTGGCACGGGATAAAAGACAAGGATAGGAATGCTGAACTGTATGAATCCATTAGGCCCCAAAAGATCAAAACTTGAAGCGATGTTGGCCACGCTGAAAGACGACGTTTTGCGTGACGACGCTGAGGTGCAACGATCCGGTTTGGAGTCAATGGTAGACAACGCCACTGATGAGTCCAAAGGTATGTGGCGTCGGCGCTTCGTGAATCAGTGTTTCACGCAATTGCGTGCAATTTCTTACGAAAGCTGTCGGACGTGGATACTTGTGCATGTTAAGTTTGCATGAAATTCATCTGTTCTCTTGCATGTTTTGCCCGTTCATGTTCTCGGTATGTAAAGCATCCTTCGTAGTCCCACATTCCGAAGTTGATCAAGTCCGTACGTGAAGAACCTTTCGTGCTTTCCTGGCTTATTTAAAGCTATCGCGTGTCGTCCACGAATTGAAAATGGAGGCAAGGTGCCGGAAACTGGCAACTGTCTAAAGCTTCCGCGACGCCTAATAATGGATGTTGGAGTGAGATCGTGTCGTGCAAAAAATCTTCTCGTCTCTTTATCTTTCCTTCACATTTTAGCGTCAAGTTACTCTAGTCCTGATCTGATTTTACAGGCATTGGACGAACAAAAGGCGGAATGACCGCCAGTTTCTTGAACCTACGGAGCAGCAATCCGGCAGCGTCGTTGTCAGCCGATGGTCTAGGAGGCAAGGATGAAGACATGGAAGAAGGTCTTGGTCTCGGAGAACTTGCTCAGCTCACTGTGAACAACGAAGCGGACGTGAGCTATGATGTGAGTAATTCCTCATTGAATCAGGTAACAGCCAAGCTGTGTATGGTCCCGAGAGTTATTTTCTCCGATTACGGTCCCTTCAAATATTTACTGTCCCTTGTGTGATCTCAATCTCGTTGACGACGTGGTGAATGTGATGATCTCTTCACATTAGTTTCCGTTAGTTTTCGTGGCTGATACGTTTCAAGATATTTTCTTTCTCGTTCTATTTTTGTTGTTGAGCTAATGATCGCTCTGATCGTTTATTTGCAGATAACCAGCTCAAAGGAAGCTTTCCGTAAAACGTGGAGTGCGAAGTACACGCTAAGAAGTCATTTCGATGTTGTTAGAGCTCTTGCTTTTCTACCCGTCGAGCCAGCGCTCATCACCGCATCGGAAGATCACACCCTGAAGTTGTGGAATCTACAAAAAACCGTTCCTACTAAAAAGTTGGTTTCTTTGCGACATTCTCAAGTTCAGCTGATTTCAGTTTTGTTTCTTACAGATCCGCTTCGCTGGACGTGGAGCCGGTTTACACTTTTCGGGGTCACATCGGTCCTGTTCTGTGTCTCTGTGTCGACCCAAGCGGAGAAACCTGCTACAGTGGTTCGGCGGACACTAAAATCAACTGCTGGGCGATACCCAGTTCTAATCTCGATCCTTATGATAACTTTGATCCGAGCGTGATGATGCACTCTCTCAGCGGTAACAGAAGAAGATGGTCGAATTATTCGCGTCGAATGCATTGCTGAAACATATTCCTTTTTCAGGGCATACGGATGCGGTCTGGGGTCTTGCTATTCACCCGAACAAAGGGCAGCTACTTTCGTGCTCAGCAGATGGTACCGTACGACTTTGGCAGCCGTCGAATGCCAGTCAGCCGTTGCTGACAACCTTCCCAACGTCGGAGCAGGATGGCCTTCCCACCTGCATAGATTTCATTAGAGGTGAAACGCCGCCCGTGAAGATGGTAGTGGGCTTCCGTTCTGGCGTTGGTGTTGTGTTCGATGTAGAAACTGCAAAACCAGTTATGCGTCTGGAGGCGCCGCCGGTCTGTAACGAAACTGAAGAATTTATGTTGTCGGATAAATTTCAAAGATGATTTGTTTCTATTGGTTCCTCTTTCTAGGCGGGAGAAGGTGCTGGTGACGGTAGTATTCCAGGATCGGCGATACACGCCATAGTGTCACACCCGACATTACCTTTGGTGCTTACTGGGCACGAAGATAAGCATATCCGTTTCTGGGACGTTGGAAATTCCACATCGCCTGGGCGGCTGATTCATTCCATGGTGGCCCATTTGGACACAGTCACGTCTTTGGCAGTTGATCCTAATGGACTGTACCTTGTCTCTGGCAGTGAGTATCTGCGTCTCTTCGATCATCGGTTTCTTATCTGGATGTTTGAAGTAGGAACGATATCTCTGGGAACAACTCTGAGTAGGTTCTTGATGAAACAACAGCTGGGCGAGTCATGTTTATGACGAAATTTCATTGAGTCTAAATTTAACTCTAGCTTCGCGGGAAGCTGAAGTACTGTACTCCGCGTCAAGTTCTACTCTCTCCAGAGAACGGCATTAATTGTTCGTGGTCGTAGGTCCGTTGAATGTGCTTGCTAAGAAGAATTTTGCTTCCCAGGTCATGACTGCAGCATTCGGTTGTGGAATTTGGACGACAAGACATGTGTCCAGGAGATCACGTCGCACCGGAAAAAATTCGACGAATCGATCTTGTCTGTGGCGTTCCATAGGTCAAAACCTTTCATCGCGAGCGCTGGGGCTGATGGAGTCGCAAAGGTGTTCGTATGACACGATGGGACGTGTCTCGAACCTGGTCGCAACCCAGTCCATTGCCACCGGCATTCCGGCGTCTTCTGCTCAGCCTTTGCGACTACTTTGGCTACGGCAATTTAGATCTCTGCCCGTGTCGGCGAGATTGAAGTCGGAGGGAAGAAGTGTTTAGCGAACAATGGTATCGTATGCTCCGTCTCTCCTCTTCCTTCAGGGTTTCCTCTGACTTGACCCGTTTCGCAGCGCTTCGCCAAAGTCGTTGACGCGAATTGGCTTTTTACTGACTCTGTCGGCTGTGCAATTATGTCCCTGACCCTTTTGAAAACAATGAGTAGTGTGTGAGAATGTGCGAGGCGTATGCATGAAACTTTGTATGTTGTAGATAGGCTCTCTTGCGACTGTGGACGAACCATTGCTGGAGCGGGTTGTCATCGTGAGAGTGGGGTGCACTGCTCTGAATTCTAGCAAGGCTCTTGGCTTTCATTCTGTTGCATTGACATGCGACGCTTATGCCTGAGTCGGGTGATCGTTTCAATTTTTACTCTGGGATTGCCTCGCGTGGATAGTGAAGCGGATTCTTCTTGTGAATAAGAGAATTGAGATAGTGAAACCGTTGAATTCGCCTCTCTTGGTTTCCTTTTGTTCTCGGCAAGGGAGTCCCTGCCTTCGGAATACCTAGTCTCACGCGTCTGCAATTTGTAGACTTGGCAAGTTGTAAGAGTGCTCAATGTTCTAAGATCAGTGATGTTGCATTCTGTCTTGAATTGTGGATGACGTGAAATGCCACCGCGGCGTTAGACAGAAATCGTGAGGGGTGGCTAATTTTTCAGAGCGCCTGCAATGTTGCTTTTCTTTTCCTGTGGGCATTCGGTCGTAAATTTATTTTTGCTTCAGCTGTTTGGCAAGAAAGTCCCGGATGAGAGAACCAATGAATTTATCTCACTGGACACGGAGGATCAGTCAGCATGGTCGTCGCAGTGTTTTAATCTTTGACGAGGCGGAGCAGGGTTGAGTCTTCCTGTTGCCTGGTCAGGGTGGTACGAGCCCCGCTAGTGCGACGCACGGGATTTTTTTTTTTTTCTGATCAGAATCCATCCCAAGTGCCTGTCAGTAGTGCAACATACCTTTAGTATTTGCGGGAGACCCAATCAGTTGACACAGAGCTCGTTGTTGTTGCCTTCCGGCGCGCGCGACGAACGTTCGCTGTAATACTTGAAAGCAGTGACACATCACGCAATATTCGCAATGTCATAGATTTTGCGTTTCTACTTCCAATCACGGAACGGGGATGCGTGTTGTAGCATCCTGAAGATATATTTTTTTAATTAGCGCCAATAATCATTTGTTCCCTCTCCTGCACCACTGGACGCAAGAAAGTGTTTGGTGTCCGTCGTGGATTGTGAAATACAACGAACCCCTGGCCCGCATTGAAGCGCTGCTCTGCTAGGCGTGACACTTCGCGGACAAGTCTGGGTCGCTGCCGTGATGATTTCCTCCTCTCCGAGAAAACTGTTCGCTTATCGGTCGCAAATGTGACTGTACCGATTCGGTGTCATGTTATTTATTTTTGTTTCTGATCAAGCCCCGGGGCATTGCGGGGTGATGTATTTATTGCGGTCCTTTCTGTTTCTTCGCAGCGAAGAGGGATCCTTGAGAGACTGACAAATGCCAAGTATGTTCAACCAGTGATCGGAAACGCGCGGAGATCCCTTAGGTCATATAGCACTGTTCGTGCATGGTGTCGCATTTCTATTGTCCCCCATTTCGTCTGGCTCTCATCAGTCTGACCTCTTAGTTGCTCACAGATGATCAGCGTGTTGAGTTGTGCTTTCTTGCCTTGGCCAATCGGCAGTGTCTGTAGACATTCCGGGGAACCTTCGTGTAACAAAACTATCGTTCTAGTCAGCGCCCTGGGCGTGAGGCATGTTATCAAAAGCTCTGCAACTTGAAGGTCCTGAATATGATACTCTCAACACCTGATGCGAAATGTTGGATGCTAAGAATGTTCTGGGCTGTCTCTTGGAAATCTATCAATCGCGAAGAAGATCGAAAGTCTTGCCTGCATTGCTGGGTGTCAGATGCCCAATCGAGTTCGCTACAGTTCAACAAGCTGAGCAACTGTTAGAACAACCGTAAGAAGTCGTAATGATTGTTCGGATGCCTACTTTTCAACTTCGTGTAGATGGATGAAAATTGAGCAAATGAACTACGACGCAGTATTTTGGCTATTTCATTTCAATTTTGTCGTCACTTCTTTTATCCCCGGAAAGGGCGGTCAAACCCTTGAATGTGTGTCTTGAACCAAAATCCTTTTTTTTTTTCAGCGAGCAGTTCTACATTTACTGATTTAAGGTGGTACGGTTAAGCCTTGGGTGTTGGAATGAATTGATGTGGTTATTCTTTTTTGAAAGTGAAAATCATACTTCAAAACGATGTCTGATATGGGCCTTAACTTCATGAAGTGGAAACGCTGTCGATAGCTGGCGTTTCTACACCATGGCAGTCTCAACCTAGATCTTCCAATGAGAGAACGAGTTACCGAATGTGAAAGTCGGAAAAATTGCCGATTTCCCCATCTTTTTCCTCAACTGCCTGCTGAAGGATTCATGCTTCAGACCTGTATGCGTCCTAGGAATTTGACGCATTTAGTTCATTGACGGCTGCTTCGATGCGTTCTGCAACCCTCGGAAATCGATCTTTAATGTGAACTTCGATACAGTATCTACGAATTTTCTGATGAACTGATCCGGATGAACAGCTGCCAGATTGTCGTACAATCGTGTGTTTCGTGCAACCTGATGATAAATATAAACGTAAGACGCAACATAACTTGTGCTGAATTGACTCCTTGTTGAAGTGCACTTCGGAAAAATCGAGAAGTTCTTTGCAAATTAGTCGGGGTAGAAATCGTTCGAATATTAATTGAGCCGCATGACAACCTTACAGAACTACTTCAAAATTCTGAGGTAGTAAAGCCCAGGATGTCTCAGGAAGACAATGATACGTTTTCTTGCGAGTTTATCATAAGATGAGTGGTTATGGAGCAAATGAAGATATTGTAATCTCATGAATCCGGATTGTCTGGTATGCTTGAGGGAATCATTTGCAGAGGATATGAGGTTGATTTCTATTCCATCACTTTCGACTAAATGTCATACAAAGTGTGACGGAATTTATGAGGAGACGCGCAGTCGACTTCTCCCTTGATGAGGGTTGAGGCCATCATTACAAATGCTGTATTTGGGTGTTCTGACGGTGGTCGTCTATCGTAAATTATTTGCCCGTCTACGTGCTGCCGAAATCCCAAAATAGTCTTCGTGACATCTGGGGATTGATGATGATCCCACGTAATGCTGATTGTGGGAAGGTTGGAAATGCGTCAGATTTGGACGCAAGGATCAACAAGAATATCGGACAACACTGTGGTGTAGGACTGTAGGTTATTCTCCAGAATTTTTCTTCGCTATGTTAAACTTTTTCAGGCCAAGACGAATTCATTTGGACACCAGCTTGGCTTCTGCATGCGCTTAAATTACTCTTGCGCCCTGCGTAAAAATGACCTATCAAGTTCTGTCAAATCCATTTAAATGTTCTGTAATACTGTAATATTAAAATTGAGTCCGTCTGATTCAGCATCTTCCGACTGCACATTGACTAAAAAGAACCGGAATTCAATACTGTCTTGTACAGACGAAAAATCGGAGACGCTTGAGGAAAACCTACTAACGAAGCATTAATGACAAAATTAGGATAATTGTGATAGCTTTCACAGTGCGACCGAAAATATATGATGAAAAGTGAACACAGCTATCTTTGTCAATAGTGCTGTTTTTTCCACTCGTTCATTCGGTGAAACTGAAAGTAAAACATCGGTGTTGACTTAGATGGTATCAGATTGAAGTTCGCTATAATATGTGCATTACTGAACCATATTAATTCTTTTTTGTTCAAAATTTCCTTGTGTACGAGTAAGCCGAGCGCCATGGCTTTGACGAAATCTGGAACAATTTTCTTTTAAGCTCGGTGTCACGCGTACTTCAGCGTGACGCACTCATTTTTTGCCGCCAGATTTTCGAGTAAAACGTGGGCACGATTTACGAGTAGATGTGAAGGAAGTGAATGGAGGTATATGTTCGCACGCATGCCTAACGAGGGTGAAGGAATGAACTGAAAGACGAAAAATTTTCTGTCAAGTTTATTTGTCTGCAAGCTTTTTTCATTATCATGGCTTGCATTTTCTGAAAATTTCCTCAATGCAGTTTTTGAGAAAACGGTTGAAACGATGACCACGAGTTGGAGAAAATGGGGTACCGGTTACTTCTTCCTGATCCTTTCTCCCACTATTCGTTCTGACATCTGGTCTCTATAGAAGGGAATCGATAGATTTTGTTCTCCGTCACCTGCAACCACGTTGTGATCATTAAAGTCGGAGTGAACTTGAGTACAGTGCAGTATTGTGAAGCGCGTGAATTAGGGCTGCAAAGATGTGCGCAACTTCGGCACGCACAAAATTCTGATTTGACTGATGATGCATAAGGAATCCCGCGTCTTTGCCGGATCAAGTCGTGGGATTTGTTTGCGGAGTCGCAATAAGCCATCCATGGCATGCTTTTGAGCTTCTCAGAATACAGTAATATCAATTTCTCCGATCTGATCGAGACGGCGGTGATCCCTCATAGGAGATCCCGAAGCGAAGGTCTGCGTGATGGCGAAGTTCGCCGCAGATACATTTCCTTTCACGCAGTTCCTGTGCAGTATGCTCCAGAGATTCTTGCTCATTTACATTTGTTTGTTTGAATTCATGTCGTGGTCTTCGTGCAGTTCATGAAGGCAGTGAATTTAACTGCAACACGTGTTGCAGTTAAATTCTGAATGTACAGTAGATTCAGCATTTTTGCAGGCATTACATTTCATTTGGAAAGATGGAAAATGAAACGCAGCAAACATGCTGCAGTTCTTCTGGAGGAATGGTAACGATGGGATGTTCTCGAAAGGAGAAAAAAATTGTCGATAACATTACGGAATTTGAATAGTAAATAGAATCCCAATCTCCCGGGTGCAGAATCGAGGAAAAATTGACGAGTTTTTCCCATGGCTATCCGCTGATGTTCTCGCGGTTCGACATCTAAAATAATCGTTAATTTGGATTTATAGGTGGCGAATGATCTAAATTTGTGCGACGCTCAGAAAACTGCGGTACAATTCCTTCACAAAAAAGTACGCTTCAGCTTTCCATTCAGTTGAATTTTACGTCTGTGCAAAGATTATTCCATCATAAAGTGCATGAGATGGGGAGTCTGTAGAAACCGATTGATTCTCTGCTTGAATATTTTAGAAGTTAGATCGAGCTGTTCAAGGACATAGTTGTTCGAAAATATGATCTTCATTGATACGTAATGCTGTACTGCATTTTCTTTGCTTCTGATATTCTCTACAATATTACTGATATGCATCATACTTATAAAATTTTTATGATGAATTATTCGAGAAAAGTCCAGGTCCTCAGGAAACTTCCAAGTTCAAAATTAATTGACGCCGTTCAGCAAGTTATCGCTTATTTCCTTTCATTGGAGTTGCAATTCTGAGCATTGACTATTGATTTAAGCCTTTAAGGCATTGTTGATGTTGATGTCGGTTAAAACATTGCATGATTGTAATAAAATGAGAAGAGCATCAACTTTACAGTTCTAGAATGATGTATTAGAATAAATAGACTCCCTCAGGGAAAGATCTGATGTAGTGGATGGAGGAAGATGATTTCAGGTTTTCCTGAATCTGGGACAAAAGTTTCCACAGATGAGATATTATTGATATTCTTAATCACGGTTGGTTTAGTTGAAAAAAAAATCATCCATCTGATAGAGTAAGTTACGCGGCAAGGCATTACTTGTCCCCGTATATCATGAGTCATGCAATATTGTTAACGAAATTAATTTGCATACGAGCTCGACACTGACCCGTGAGAAGGATATTTGCTTCATTGACATTCCCAACAAAGCATTTTTTAAGTCTTCGCTGGACCCTTTTGACGGAACGAACATCCCCCCCCCCCCTTTGTGTGACAGGCTCCCACAGGGACTTGCTGCAGGAAAGAGAAGTGTACACTTCGGATATGTGCTGGTTCATTCAAGAAGTTTTCAGTTACTTGAACAACAGTGAATCAATGTGG